TGGAGATTTCCTTCTGAAGATAATTGCCCCCTGTGTGGCACATTCCAGCCACTGTCCTGCCCATCTAAAGGCTTCTCAGTTGTAATTAAGCATGGGCAAAGCAGTCCTTATGTGAAGCATATGTAGTGGAGATCCTTGCCCTTTTCCCTTCCCTCTTCCTTTCCTTTTTTTTTTCTTTCTTCCTATTCCATTTCTTCTCACAGAGACACCAATCAGAAATATAGATATGCTTGCTCGTTGTCTTTGATTAGAAATAGCCCACGCATCTGGAAGCTAAAATAGAGATTATATTCTAGCTCCCCTAGAGCTGGAAGTTGTAAAATACAGCAAAAGAAATGTTAAAAGGCAGTTTTAAATATGCCATTCATCTCCACCATACTGCCCTTGGATCACTAAGATAATTAAGCATTAAAATCAGCTTAGATAATCGTATAAGTTAAAGAGCTGCCAGTGGTAGCTTATTAGTTCCAAAGCTTTCTGCAGAAGCTCAACCTACCTGACGTTTTGATCCCATGTGTCAAGGAAGTGGTCAAGATTGAGCAGTCAACTTTCAACAGAAGAATTTCCTCCTGATAGAGTGGCAGTTGTAATCATATGGTATTTTTAGGAAAGTGATACACTGAAAAATAATATTACAATTATGTATTTATGAAGTGTTGGCTTTCTACAAACTGGAGATTTAGCAATGATTACTGGAACAAAGTATTACATTTCCAAAAGAAAGAAAAAATACACAGAGACGGTATCAACCAAATGGATTAATGAAAAATCTTGATCCTATTATCTTAATGAATGCAGTACAGAGTGTCATAAATGCCCTTACCTCCTTGTTACATAGTGTGAATTACAAACAGAAAGACCAAAGAAATGGCAAATTTCTATCCCCCTAACAGGGTCTGATACGAGGATCCTTTGTCCCTTTCTCATTTATTACAGATGCCTTTCATCAGTGAATACTCATATTCTAATAATCAATCCAAAAATATCCATAATTAAAGAAAGACAATACCATGGCTATTTTTACAGTCATGTTATGATATTTTAGTGTATTGAGTACAGTAATTATTTATTAAAAGTAACACAAGAAAATATGAATAAAATATCTGTATGTACAAAGTGGCATGGTATGATTTCTACTTAATATTTAATAATACACTTGCAAATTTTTCCTGGAATAACATAGTGGAAAACAATAAATACAAACATTAGGTAACATAAGAACAAAAAGAAAGTAGGAAAGTTTCCATAGATAACAGTTGTTGGTCCCAGAAACTTTAAACTCCAGGGAAATGCATGCAGTCAGCGAGCCCACCTGCCTGGGTTGTTAGCAATACTGTTCACAAACACCCCTCCTAAAAGCTGCTCTCCTAGAAATGCTCCTATAAAATGGACTAATGTGCTTGTTTGAGTCGCAAAGGACAGGGGAGGCCCCAATTCTTCTTGATTCTGTTAAATTATTGTATGTCATTTGTACGCATGCAGTCAGCGAGCCCACCTGCCTGGGTTGTTAGCAATACTGTTCACAAACACCCCTCCTAAAAGCTGCTCTCCTAGAAATGTTCCTATAAAATGGACTAATGTGCTTGTTTGAGTCACAAAGGACAGGGGAGGCCCCAATTCTTCTTGATTCTGTTAAATTATTGTATGTCATTTGTACGTCACTTGATTGGAATAGGCAACTGATACAGACTCGCGAGCAGGACTGGAAGTCAGGTGGTTCTGCAGGACCTTCTCTTTTTTTAATCTCTGGAGTGTAGAGGCTGAAGATTAAGCCTGTGAACAACAACAACAAAAGTTCAGATTTCAAGAAAGTGAAGAAAAAGTGGAGATGCTGGTGGAGACCGTTTCTTGGTAAGATATGTTAGTGACTAGCTGAATGTTTTCCACCCAGACATCCCTTGCATGTCTCACAACCACTTTAAACTCAGTGTGTCTGAAAGGAAAGCCCTCGATTGTCTCTGGTCCTGTTCCACCTGACCCCATAATCCCAGTCTTTTCTACGACCTCCATGTTGCATCCAGGCACCCAGGCCGGAAGCATAGGTATCGTCCATAGTCCTGTTCTTCCTCATTCCCCACTGCCCAAACCCAATCAGTCACCACCTCTTGAGATTTTTATCTTACAGACATTTCTCTGTTCTATCCTGCCTCTTCATGTCCATCTCTCCTATAGCTGCAGTCCTAGTTTGAGCCTTGTCACTTTCCAGTGGAATATTGCAATAGCCTCTGACTCCTCTGCTTCCCATCTAGCTCCTCTTGAATTAATCTTCCACATTAAGCACACACTGGTGTATCTCAAGCACAGATCTCACCCTACTGTTTTTCCTGATTAACTGTATCCCATCACTAACGGGATACAGTCCAAGATCTGTTGCTTGGGGTGACAATGTGAGTAAGTAAGAAATTCATGGGCAACTTCCATGCTTTGTTGTTGTGTACAGGAGGGATAGCCAGACCTCTGGTTTAGTACTTTGGATTTTTCTTGCTTGAAGTGCAGAAACAACTTTCTGTGTTGGTCCAGAAAAGGGTAAGGGATGGAGGCTTCTGTGCTGCAAGTGGGAAAGGGGCAGGGCCCGAACTGTGGCCTCAGTGGCAGGGTAGATGGTGTCATGCTGCTGATGGCAGTGCTGCTGGTATTTGGAGTCTGGGAAGAGGATGAAACGGTGTGTGGGGGCCTGGGCAGTGGTACCAGTGGTGGAGAACTGTACCCTGCTCTTTCATGGCATGGTTGATAGAGGCAGGACCTTTGATAGGAATGGCTGCACTGTTGCCTTGCATGGGGGAAAGCTGGACTCTGGCTGCCATGGCCTAGGGGTAGCAACCACAGAATCCAACTCAAGTCTTTGGGTGTGCAAAGGACTATAGACCAGGGGTATCTCTGCCACCCTCCTAGAGCATCTGTGCTGATAGATGGTCCAGCACATGCCAGAGCATGATGTAGCAGAAGGAGCACCATGATTATAAGAATGATTGCAGAGCAGGCCCCTCCCTCAAATACTGGACTAATTTCATGGGTGTGTTTTATATCTAAGATTGGGGGTGGGGGGGTTCCCTCAAAATAAACACATGACTTCTTGGTGACATTCACAAATGAGGAAAGCTCGTGCTTCATTCTAGCTTTGTAATGTCCTTTATGGTTACCCTGGGAAATAAGGCCCCTCATGATCTGGTGCCTCTACTACTTCAGCCTCATTTCTCAGCCCTCCTGGCACAGAGCTATATTCTCTAGGTCAGTGCTGCTCAAGGTATCTA